TTGGCCTACCGCCTCAACCTTATCGATCTTCCTGAGCCTCCGTGCCTACGACTTACAGCTGGCCTGCACTGGGTATCTTGCTCTACCGCACAAAGCAGGACTGTCTCAAGCCAAACCAAACACAATATGTCAACATATAAACAATCATATTCATGTAGGCAAATAATACAGGAAAAAAATCAATCATACAACTCGCTACTGCCTACTAGTCCTCTCTCAACATATAGTCCTGCTAGCAGCCAACCTCCAAAGAATGCGTAACCATAACTAACCAGAGGTGAGATATCCACCTGAATAGATGGCCCTACTCTAAAGCCACAACCAAACAAGGAACAGGCAAGAGAGCTTGGATCAAGAGTCCTCAAGCTATTCTACATGACTACATATAGTCCCTAGGGCTTCCCTCTACTAACAAATAACCAAAACTAGTGGGCCGACATTGGTGCCTTCCACCCATGGGTACAGTGAGTCGAAAGTCACCTCGATATGCGCATAGATAACCACTATAGCAACAAAGAACTCTACCAGCGTCAACTCACTTCCAATCACCTACAGGAAGACACTAAAGTTAATACCCAATCACATGTCATAGTCACTTGCAACAGTGGCCACCTCACATGAAATCACAATTAGGGTTTCACATAAAATGACGATTAGGGTTAGGTAATAACACTTAACCCGTTAAGGACTTTATCACTTAAGGGTATGACTGATTAAGGTTTGACTTATTCATTCTCGGGTGAAATACTAATCCAATCAACAGCCCAAATATGTGCCCGGTCATTGTCCAAATAGAGCTCCCTGATTCTAGGGTTTTCACATAAAATGATAACTAGGGTTAGTCTTCCACACTTAACCTCTTAAGGACTTAATCCATTAAATCCAATATTGCATTAAGTTAATTGTAGGGGCATTATTAAGTATTATTTAAAGTTTAATTAACAACTTTAACGTGGGTCCCGACCAACTCCAAAAACTAGTGTTTCTTGACAATTGGGTTTTTTAAACACTAATTAGGGTTTCCAACTCCTAAAGTTACATGATTAGCTAATTAAAATAAATATATATTTTAATAAATCAGGCACCACCCACTGCCACCTCGGGCAGTGGTGGTCGGCGGCGGTTTATGGCGGCAGGAGGCGGCAACCACCATTTAAAGGGCGGGAGTTATGAATTTTAGGTCTAAACACCAGCAAAAGCCTCTCGGTTTACACATGACGTTAATCCAACACCCACACACATACACAACCACCCGAAGCGGCGGCTGATGGTCGTAGAACGGGAGCAGAAGGTGCCAGCCACCAACTCACGGTGGTAGTGGTGGGTTTTCTTCACATCTGACTAAGAAATGCTTATACAACATCCACCATTAGAACACACACTCAAACACCTTATCACACACACATAGCCACCCACACACGGTGGCTGGTGGTGGTAGAAAAACAGAAAGGGCGGCAGCCACCATGGTTGGCTGCCATGGTGGCTCTCTTCAACTTCCGACCAGCCATAATACACACACAAGTCATGATTGCAGCAGTGATGCACACACATGTACGTGAAGCACGAGCACCCACTGAAACACATACACAACTCAACATCTCTCGTAGAGGAAGACGGTGATGGATGATGACCGGAGCAGGAAAAGGGTCGTTTGAGGGGCGGGCGACGATGGCTAGCAGTGACCGAACGAAAGCGGAAGGGGGAAGGACAAATTTTGCGGCAGAGAGGCGGTTGCGTCCGTCACCGATCACAACAGTGACCACGATGTCTATCGTCAGTCCTCATCCTCAACAAAAATGGAAACAACTACGGCGACCCTCGACTTGGTGGTTCCCGGATTCGACATCAGCGGTGCAACAATGATATCCGGTGGCTCATGGTGGCGACGTAGTTGACATCGGCGACTGGAGATGAGGAGCCTGATAAGGTGGTGGCAGGGGATGATGTAGTGCTAGGGTTTGGGGGTGCTGCACTCTTAAAAACGGGTGAGGTAAGGAACACGGGTTCAAGTCCCGTGTTTTTCCAAACTTGGATGCATTTTAACGAGATTGGTCCCTGCCTCAACAATTCCCTTTTAATTTAAATCCAATAATTACTAAACAACCCTTGCTTCACAAAATCCTTTACATTTCAAGTCCTAATATTACAATATAGACCCTAAATTCTGGAAATTATACCATTTAACTCCTTAAGGCTAACACTGATAAATTATTATAGATTTATGGCTAAAATTAAATAAAAATATCAATTACATCTGAGGGTTTATTATTTATTTATTTATTTAATTATTTATTTATTTTTAAGGGAATGTTATAATTATGCCATCATTACAAATGACAAAACAATTTCTTTTACATTAGCTCTTTGATCATCATCATTAAATTAAATATTTGTTGATAGAAACTAATGAACCATTGTTGAGGAAGACCATCACACATTGTTTCAAGTTAGTCGTCGACATGATCAATGGATCCACATACCTATTACTTTTACACCTTGATTCAAGAATATGTTTTGATATAGGGTTTATATATTTATGCTAACACGTTTGAGATGATTTTAAGTTATATGATCAATGTTGATGATTGCCATGGGTTATAAAGTATTGTCGAACTCAATTTGTCGCTAAATACGAACCAGTTTGAACCAATGCATGTTAGAAATTGGGTAGAGTTTATAGTGGAGATCTGGTTACCCCATGTATCGTGTAAACACTTTCCAAATTGATATTTCTACCCTATGCTTAGGTTACAAGATATTCATCCTAAGATAATCCAAGACGACACTTACGAATCTAGGCACAAAAAACATAAACCAAATTACTAGAGAATTCTGAGTTCGTATGTAGAAAAATGAGAGCTAAAAAGTGATTTCCTCTTTAAAAGGAGAGTTGTTTTAATATAGAACATGATACGTAGGCTTTCCTCTTATGGTTGGCCGTCATGGGTTCCTTTGGAAACAAGTCAAGTTAATCCTGAATTAATGAGGAAATCAATGGTTTCCAAAACTGACGATCATAGTCAGTTTTACCATAACCACCCTCAAGAATTCAATTTTCTACTATGTACCCACTTGCAAAATCCGAAGCCCTTTGGGGCACTGCCCCAAACCCCGAGGGGCCCGAGCTACGGGCTCTGCCCCTTGGACCCTGTTAGGAGCGCTGCCCCTGGACCCTGGCAAAGGGTCGTTGCCCCTTTGGAAACCCTGAACCTGTAGGCGCTAACCCCGGTCCCCCGACTTATCGTCAAACCGGTTTCTAATTTGATCTTATATATACGTACACTCCGCACATATCCACACATATTATATTACAAATTAGGAAGCTCTTAGCTCACATGTAAGTCCAGTTATACAGTTATACAAAATGTCTTGCTGACATTAAAATCCCCAACAAAGCATGCAAGAGTCTTTATGAGGATTGCCAAGAATTAGAGTTTAAGTCTGTTTTGAACTATTTATTCTAAGATTTAATAACACTTTGTTGTTTAAAACGTTAAAAAAAATTCTAATTTAGATTTTTAACAAAATTAAATGGTGGAATAATATTTAGAAAAATCCAAATGAAATTGAAAACGGAAGAGGTGTGAACAAAAAAACATAATATCATAGCTACTGTATAGAAACGACGTATTATAATACGCAAATCTATTTGTCCGAATATTATATTGTCAAAAGCATCTAAACAATGTGTACAATTTTTAAGGTCTTTAAGAATTAAAATATAGCTGGCATGGGAAATATATTAATACCTTAAGTTAATTGCTCCTAATATTCTGTATATCTTTTATAATATTTTTAATTTTAAAGGAGTTGACCTTTGAATAAAGCAATGACGAATTAGGTAGCGCCTCTAAGCAAACTCCATTCTGTATTATTGACAGCCAGTGGTGTGCTTCTACCATAACCACTCTTCTTTTGAGCGGCATACAATAACCACGCTTCACCACCAATATCACAAGACAATGTCTTCTTCACGCCTAAACCTTGAAAATTTTTCAATTCCGTTGGAGGAGATCAACCTTGCCACCCAGAACTTCAGTCCGCAAAGATGTATTGGAGGCGGTGGCTTTGGTTACGTCTACAGTGGACAACTCTCAAACCGCTGGCAAAATCGCATAGTTGCTATCAAACGCCTAGCTACAGATAGCCACCAGGGGGAGAGCGAGTTCCACACCGAGGTTGAGATGATTTCCTCATTCGACCATGAAAACATCATCTCTTTCATTGGTTATTGTGATGAAGACAATGAGATGATTATCGTTTATGAGTATGCTATCAACAGAAGCCTTGATTATCATCTCCAAGACCGACAAAAGATGCGTTGCATAACATGGACACAACGTCTGAATATTTGCATAGGAGCAGCAAGAGGTATTAATTATCTTCATTCGGGTCGTGGGGAGCATGACAGGGTAATACACAGAGACGTCAAGAGTGCCAACATTCTATTAGATCACAATTGGGTTGCAAAAATTTGTGATTTTGGTTTATCAAAATCGGGTCCAAAAAATCAGCCAAATACCGAACTCTATACACAGGTAGCTGGAACCCAGTATTACTTAGATCCCACTTACCATGAAAGTGGCATTCTACGTAAAGAATCAGACATATACTCTTTTGGTGTTGTGATGTTTGAAATGCTGGGAGGGATGCTGGTTTATCGTATAAGAAACATTGGAGATGATATGTCACAGTCTCTAATAAATTTAGTCCGACGTTACTATGAAAATGAAGCAGACATGTTAATCGATCATGATATTAAAAATCAAATTGACAGAAGCTCTTTTGACACCTTTAAACAAATTGCTTATCAATGCCTTAGTTTTGATCCAATGGAACGGCCTGCCATGAAAGAAGTCATTAAAAGGCTTGAGGATGCATTGGATATTCAAGTAAGTATTTTTATGAGTAGATTACTGAAATCATCCCTATGGTTTGGTCAAAATTACACATTCGGTCCCTGACTTTTTTTTGCACTCGGATCGTCCCTGTGGTTTGATTTTGTTGCGTTTTTCGTCCCTATGGTTTGGTCAAAATTGTACGTTTGGTCCCTAACTTTATGTATGTAATGGACGAAAACCGCAACAAAATCAAACCACAGGGACGATCCGAGTGCAAAAAAAAAAGTTAGGAACCAAACGTGAAATTTTGACCAAACCATAGGGACGATTTCAGTAATTTACTCTATTTTTATTTAACTATTTTGAAAGAAATCTAGTTTGATGTGAAAGAATCAAGACTGGTAAGGATCATACAACATATTTTTGTTTCGAAATGAACAAAAATCTCTTTTGGTTTATTTGATATGCCTTTGTGTATCAAACTGTCTTTTTGAGAGGGTTGAGTTGCAAATCCTTTTATAGACGATAGCCAACTTAAGGTGTTGAATGTCTTCCATGCCAACACAGTCTTATTTTACTTATGCATTATATAAATATTAGGTTGAATGAATTGTTGGAATTTCATCAACAGTTAAGGGGAGTTTAAATACCAAATGGCTTATGAGTTTAAAATTTTAAATGTAGCTGCAGGGAGATTTTGCTGAACTTATTCAGTTTCTTATGAAAGACTTCAGATTCTGTCATGGCATACGTGTTGCAGCATTTACAATGTACAAATGCCTCCTCTATTGGAAATGTTTTGAAAATGAAAGAACCACGGTTTTTGATCAAGTTATCCAGATATTTCGCTCAGCAACTGAGGTACTTCCTCCATTAATGATTAATAAAAAAAAGTATTATTTACAAATCACATTAATTCAAGGGCGCGAGATATTTAGCAACATTTATCAACATACAAAGCTTAGCAACATTACAAGTAAAATGAGATTTGTGTAACTAAATCATCCCTATTTTGTGTCATCCTATAAATTCATTTCCGTGATGCTACTGAAACATAGAAAATATTTATCGGTTTCTTCCAATTTAATGACAGTCGTTCTGAATGCAGGATGAAGATAATAATGAGCAGATGGCATATTGGCTATCATTTACATGTACTTTATTATTCTTAATTGAAAAAAGTCTTGAACGTGGAGATCCAACTCATGGAAGAATGACAACCGTATGGATTTTTTTATTTTACTTTTGCTATTTTTCTTTCCTATTGATATATTAATGTTTTAAGACATGGTTTTCTACTTTTAAGGAATCTTCTTTTTCCGTATCTTCTTTTGATTTTGCTGACACACATGCTGAGGCTACAGTTAAGGTAGTGCAACAAGTTCAAGCCAAATACCCTGCTTTGCTTTTCCGTCAGTTACTAAAAGCACTTGTAGAGAAAACATATCGCATTATTCGTGACAATTTCAAGGAGGAGCTGAGACCAGTACTAGACTTATGTATTAAGGTAGCTGAACTTTTGATTAATCCTCTTCTTAACACAATGTCTACAAGCGATTTAAAAATTTCAATTCGTATTTTTAATATTGAAATTTGAAAATTCAGGCTCCACCGACATTTCTCATAACATCGGATGAATCCTTCCAGGAAGACTCAGAATTCAATCACTGGCAAGGCATTGTTGATCTTCTCAACATTCTTTGTAGCACGATAAAAGAACATTTTGTATGTGCATTATTGTTTTTCTCATTATAGACATATAACTGCTGGAGTATTTAGCATGCATTTCATTAGTTCTTAAAGATGGATACAGTGATTGGAATTCTTATTGGAATTATAATAACATTCCATAAAATTCTAATTCATCGTCGAAGTAGGTGACGAGTCTTTAGAGATTTTTTTCCAAAATTTTCTAATATGGTACAATTTCAGGTGCCTTCAACAATTGTTCAGATGCTATTTGCTCAAATATTCTCATACATCAATGTGGAGCTCTTTAATAGGTGTATCCATTATTCCATTGGTTATTTTCTTTGTTTCCGGTGGTAAAGATTCTTTAATTTGGTGATTATCTTCTTTCTATAGTCTTCTTGTACGACAGGAGTCCTCTTCATTCAGAAGTGTGGAATATTTGAAAGCAGGGATAGGAAAGTTGGAGCAATGGTGTTGTGAGGCAACAGAGGTGATCATTTATCCCGATTCTTCTCGTCCTATGTATCTTTATTTTTGCATTTCACATTTTTTTCATTGAAAAACTGAAGTTGCTTGTGGTTCTACGTACCTTATGAAAAATCAAAAAGAATAACGCGTGTTCCTGAGTTTTTTCGTAAATTCATTAAAGGAAAGAAAAAGAAAATTTTGACAGAAACAAAGGGAGGTGAAGGAAAAATATTCATTATTCCGTAATCTCGAGTTAGATGGAAATGAAAGGAAAATTTTAAGTTTTTGTGTTCCAGAGTTAGGACGAAAAAGAAAATAAAACATAAAATTTCCTTCTCATTTTCTTCTCAAATCCGTCTAACATGGGAGGAAAATTTGGAAGGAAAATATGGCTCTAAAATCCTTTCTCTCTCCTCACTTTCCTTTCATTAACAAAACTCAGGAAAACGATTTTCCTTCAACATCCCTCACTTTCCCTACGTATCTTCCCATTTATCTCCTTAAGTAGAACTCGGGTTATTACCAATAGGGTTTCACCTTGTGACAAAACTGGCAACTATTAAAGCCGTTGGCCCATGTGATAGGATCCTAGCTTCTGAGATAGAATCGCACATAGAAGGTCCGCGGTTAAAACTTCGGCCCATCCAATATATATATATATATATATATATATATATATATATATATATATATATATATAGGTTCAGATAATTTGAGACCATGTTAATTTTATCTAAAAATAATTTTAAAACGCAAAATAAAAGAAAATTTTCAAAAAGAATAACGAGTGTTCCTGAGTTTTTTCGTAAATTCATTAAATGAAAGAAAAAGAAAATTTTGATAGAAACAAAGGGAGGTGAAGGAAAAATATTCATTATTCCGTAATCCCGAGTTAGAAGGAAATGAAAGGAAAATTTTAAGTTTTTGTGTTCCAGAGTTAGGACGAAAAAGAAAATAAAACATAAAATTTCCTTCTCATTTTCTTCTCAAATCCGTCTAACATGAGAGGAAAATTTGGAAGGAAAATATGGCTCTAAAATCCTTTCTCTCTCCTCACTTTCTTTTCATTAACAAAACTCAGGAAAACGATTTTCCTTCGACATCTCTCACTTTCCCTACGTATCTTCCCATTTATCTCCTTAAGTAGAACTCGGGTTATTACCAATAGGGTTTCACCTTGTGACAAAACTGGCAACTATTAAAGCCGTTGGCCCATGTGATAGGATCCTAGCTTCTGAGATAGAATCGCACATAGAAGGTCCACGGTTAAAACTTCGGCCCATCCAATATATATATATATATATATATATATATATATATATATATATATATATATATATATATATATATATATAGGTTCAGGTAATTTGAGACCATGTTAATTTTATCTAAAAATAATTTTAAAACGCAAAATAAAAGAAAATTTTCGAAAATTCTTTTTTTTTATTATTATTTTCGGCATTTTATTTACCTAAAAAATAAAAAACAAATAAATAAAATTTAAAAAAAAAAAACTTACGATTTTTGTTAAAAAATACTTGAAATATTCTTAATATGCTTCTAGAATATTTCACAGATATTTCATAAATAAAAACAATAATATTTTTCATTTTTTTATTATTTATTATTTTATTTTTTTGGATAAAAATGACAAAAATAATATTTAAAAAATTTCAATTATTTTTTATTTTAATAATCTTTTTTTTATCTTCAAAATTAATGGCTATCAGTACGGCCCTCCATTTTACAAAATATAATGGTCTCACATGAACCTAAATATATATATATATATATATATATATATATATATATATATATATATATATATATATATATTAGGTTACTCAAATTTAGGGAGTATAACACTAATGATTTGACATAATCAAACCCAAAAACATTGGTGAAAACTGATCCATAACACAATTTGATATCGTTAAAGCAAATAGCCCACTAAAAATTACAAGTTCTATATGTGGATTAGATTCCAGTTTAGCCTCTCTCTCTCTCTCTCTCTCTCTCTCTATATATATATATATATATATATATATATATATATATAGGCACACACAGACACATATATACCTATATATGTATTTGTAATATGTACCTACATACATACACAAATTATTAGGTCTAGGAAAAAAAATTATGATGTCCATTTATTCATTATTCGAATTATTTGATTATTGACCAATATATAATTCTATAATTATTCTTACATCCTACATTGGTTTTTGTTGCTACATATGTATTAGTTAAATAGCTAAATGATCGAAAGCAAAATATACAATAATTAAGATTGAGTATTATATCTAAGTAGAAGAAATATTGAGTGTCTATTGCATTTTAGTGTAAGGGCATCCATAATCCGTTCAACTCTATAGAGTTCAATGGATTGTCACATCATCCATTAAACATGTATACAACACTACCTACAACGTATTATAAACCTTTTCAGTCCTAATCACCAGTTTATTGCTTCTATTGAACCATTCAATGATCATTCAACTTACTGCATGTCATCACCCACACTTTATTCAACTCTTATTCAATCCTAGTCATCACCCTATTCAAATTTTATAATACTTGCATTGTGGTTGATCTATGAACCTACAATAGCCAAAAGAAGACCATGTTTAAACTTAGTTTGTGCTAATTAATTGTTCCATAAGTCTTTGGTAAGTAGAGCAAGTGATTCTTATTTGACTACTCTATAATGTCATAAAATTCTTGTATAACAGTATGCAGAGCTAGTTTGGGATGAACTTAAGCATATTAGACAGGCTATTGAGTTTCTGGTACGTTTCTTCCGACTATGTTATACCATTTTGTTTATCTCTCCATTACACGACCTTCTTAATTTCATAGATACTAATAAATTTATTTATTACAATGGTTCAACCACCATGATGTTTGCATAACCATGATGCTTGGTATGAAACCCTCCATACCCTGAATTGAATCCCATATGTTTCAAACTTGATGTCGCATACCATTAAAAAAAATTAAAGTTATTGTATTTATTCATTGTTCCATGAGTCAAACTTAATTATAAATTGTTCACATCACTTTCAGGTTAGAAATGATAAGTGTGATGTTTCAAATGATGACATCATATACATCACCAATGGTCTATACCCTGTAAGTCTCTCTTTCTCACGCAAGCACACATATGATATGAGATTATAGTTTATAAGCTTACATGCAGTCCCTCAATCATAAAGTGTAACACACTTTCTTGCAAAAGAAAAAAAAAAGTAGAAAATCAGAAGCACAATAAACAAATAACTAAATGAAATGAAAGCTAGATCCATTTATAGACATCAACCGTATTGAATCATTTAAATCCAAAATCTAACCAACAAAACATGCATATCCAAACTGATTATCCATGATCATAAATGCCCAACTTGGACATCAAACAATTATTAATTAATAAACTGACTATTCAAAGGTGTCACAAGAGTGTTAATAAATGACTCTAAATGGTTGAGAACCATGTAAGGTCGTTTCTAGTTTTTTCAAAGTTTATATGTTTAAAGAACCACAAACAGCTCATGGTACCCCCTATTCGGTTAAGTGAACAAATGTGTTCTGCAAATTAACTAATTCCAAAATTGAGTTCAAAGGACTAATATGGTGAATAATTAGAAGGCAACATTGAATGTGCAATTTGATATTATTAATCCTCTTTCTAGTTGTTTTGATGATGTTCTATTAATGAGGGGATAGAGTCAAGTTTTAGGAACAAATGCACTTGTTTTGAATGTGTTATATTATTTGAAGAGTTTTTATGAAAAATAAATAAACCATATAATAATCTATGAACTAACGTACGAAATTACATAAAATATGGTAATCTGAAAAGGATAAAAACGTGTCTTCAAATAGTTTACGATGTTCGTTCCAAAATTATAAAACTCTATACTTGTATTTTAAATTTTAGATTTTTGTTTCATCAGTCTTCCTTATTGAACTTAAGTTCATCAGTGTCATTCAAGCCTATTTAAGACTTAATTTTTGTGTAAGGATCAAATCATTCAAGCCTATTTAAGACTTAATTTTTGTGTAAGGATCAAATCAACAATGCTTGAATCTTAAAAACCGTACAATTATCATTGTGGATAATTTTTATGTTAGAAAACTATATATCATAGAATTCAACGAGGGTTACCATCCATCAAGGTGTAACATCCTCAAAATATTATGGATATAATACAATACAATACCAATACTAAATAACAAAACGTCAATATTATTCAGAAACTAAATGCACCACAAATGTTAATGGCATATATATTACTAAAGTCTACTAAAACGTTAGTAATTTGAGTTGGGATCTGTTATCCCCGGTTTTGTTCATTATCACGATGGAATAGAGACGGGTCGAGTACATGCCTATATAATAACGCCAACAACCCATTAAACACATATTTTATCCTAATCACCATATTATTCCTTCTATTGATCCATTTAATTTCTTTATTCAAATAAAATCCATGTCATCACAGTCACTACATTCAATTCTAAAGTGTATCAAGGTTAATAAATCTAGGGAACATGGAGGATTTCGCTAATGTAGGTGTTGTTTGTTTTTTCTAGCCCATTATTGTTGTGTCGCGCAGCACACGCACAACACTTGGTCCTTTGCAGATGTTTGTTTTTTTCAGAAGACTTCTGACTTAAAAACTGTTGCGCGTGTGCTGCGTTGCGCAACACTAAATCAGCTGCTTCAAACCTCTTCACGTCTTACTTTAACTTACTGCAGCAGTTTATAGACGTTAAAAAACAAACAGACTTTTTTTTTAAATGTTGTAGCCGTTTGTTCCACCTCTTCTGCTACAGAGGGTTGCAGAGGTGGTCAACAAACTTTAAACATTGTTGCTTCGAAAAAACAAACAGCAGCGTAGTGTTCACGCCTCTGCTTAGGCTCTTCTTTACAGATAGAGGTGCAAATTTTATCGGAACCAAGTTCCGTTGGGGTGTGTCGTAAAGTCTGTCCTTGATAAGAATGGTATTTTGGTGTTTGGTAATTGGTAGCTCTAATGTTGTTTAGCAAGGAAAAACATTGTGTGATTCTAGCAATGGCTTCAGAAATATCTATGTGGACATTCATATTAAAAAGAACTATATTATGAAATGGAGTTGGCAGCTCTTTTATATGGGGAACGGGGCATATATATATATATATATATATATATATATATATATATATATATATATATATATATATATATATATATATATATATATATAGAGAGAGAGAGAGAGAGAGAGAGAGAGAGAGAGTTGAGAGTTGAGTTGAGTTATAGTGAAAAACCAGAAAATACTAGGAACTTGAGAACTTTTTTCTAGAAAATATTTTTCAAAAACATTAAACTAAAAGTCATCTTTTCCTATATCTAAGACATAGTGAGTTGGATTAGTGAACATCGTTCTTGGGTACTTAAATAAAAACAAGAATGGTGCAGTCGTGCTATCTTGCAGTTTGGCTCTCTAACTTGATGATATTTATTTTCAGATTTTGAGCACCATACAGTTGTCCAATATATGCACTATATATTGGGATGGTAAGTATGACACTCATAGTGTACCCTCAGATGTAAGTTCCTCATGTGAAAGTTTATTTTATAAGAACAAACATTATCTCTATACATTGGATTACCAATTACCCGCTTACCTTATATTTAAACAGGTTATTTCTAGTACCATTCAGATCAGTGACGATAGCAACAACAATAACAATGCATTAAAAGAAACTTTTAGGTATAAACTTTTAATGTTCTCTGTTTTAGAATATTCATCTGAGTACAAATCTTAGAAGTTTTATGGCAAAAAAAAAACCCTTAATTAAAAAATAAAAAAAAAAAAAAAAAAAAAAAAAAAAAAAACCTAATCCGATAAGCGTTAGTTTTGCACCAACAGTGCTCTAATTTTGTGCATTTGGCCAGATGTGCCTAAATATGATCACATTAAGATGGGAAAAGCAGTTTAATTTAAAATTTTTCTCTCTCATTCATTAATTAACTTAATTTAATGCTATGAGATGTATTCCATGTATATAATACTAGGTTGTAACCGTATTGATCAACGGTTGAAAAAATAAAATAACATAGATAATAATTGTAATTAAATAAGTGGAATAGAAGATTTTTAATAATTGATTATTTCACATAATTAATTACCAAACATTTTAATTTCAAAATCTTTATTAATCATTCTAAGTTTAAAAGAATTAGAAGAAGATTTAAATTGAAATGTAAATAGAAAAAGACATGTTTCATGTTTAGAGAGTATATATAAGAAAAGAAATTAAATATTATAAAAGAAAATAATAATAACAAGTGATAAGTTTATGATTCTTTTATTAAAAATTCACTTTTGGAATTTTCTTTAATTTTCATGTCGTATACTTCTTGAGCAAAATAATTAACAATCTATGTTCTCAAATGCAGCCTGCCGCCATTTGTTTCTGACGTCTCTGCCTCATTGCAACTAAAAGACTTTGCAACCATTAAATTTGATGTAGAACTTGGAAACAATCCAGCCTTTCAATTTTTGTACAACTAATGTATGGCCAAAATTTGTTAAGCTTTGCCAATTTAATCAATGAATATATCTGAAATAAGGAGAGTAGCACTGTCGGTACTAGGAATTTTGATATGGGTACAAACATTGACAATATATATTATATGTAATTATCTAATATCGGTCATTAAAAAACATGTTATAATCTCTTTAGTTGGAGGTACAATAACATAAAAAATATTTATAAATAATATTTTTTATATATATAAAATAATTTTTTGGAGGTACTGTAGTACCCCAACGCCCCATCTAACTTTGCCACTGGAAAAGGATATTGCATGAAAGCATTGGATGTTCCTCTTTAATTAAAGATTCATAATACACTACAAGAATAACAGGCAATAGCGGCGACACCTTTAGCAGCGACAGTCACTTTTAGCAGCGACATCAAACAAACGCGTTTTTGTCGCCGCTAAAAGTGTCCGTCGCCGCTAAAGGCTTATGTTGGCGATCCGCGTCATTTCAACCCTAACCGTTGATTTAGATGATGATCCAACGACTAGGAGGATATAGAAAACCCCGCGTTATTTTCCCTCTGGTGTGTCGCCGCTAAAGGCTACCCGTTGCCGCTAAATGCGTCGCCGCTATTGCCTGTTCTGGCGATCCGCGTCATTTCAACCCCATCCGTCGATTTAAGCAATGATCAAACCATGTAGGAAACCCCAGATAGTTTTCCCTCCGTTGTGTCGCTGCTAAAGGTCGCCCGTCGCCACTAAAGGCGTCGCCGCTAAAGAGCATCGACAATAAAATCAGCTTCGTCTTCACTTTCTTCTCTGATCTACTTCTATGTTTTCCCTCTTCCTCTCCATTTCCCACCTTCTTGCCGGAGTATACCGCCACCACCACTGTTCATGACGAAAATTTGATATTTTAGATGTGTATTTGTATGTGTATTTTGTTTGTAGATGTGGATATGTATTTGTATTTACATTTGTATGTATATTTGTATTTTGAGTGTATTTTTATGTATGTGTATGTGTTTTTGTATGATCATTTATATGTATATGTGTATTTTGTATGTAAATTATGTATCTGTATGTGTTTTTGTATGTATATGGGTATTTTGTATGTGTATTATGTATGTGTATTATGTATGTATGTATATTTGTATGTATACAAATACATATAAATAGCGGCGACACCTTTAGTGGCGACAGATAGTATTAGCAGCGACGCGTCTTTAGTGGCGACAGAAGGCAATAGC